TCCACCTTTTGAGAACTTTTCGACCTCGTTTTGTATGAACTTCATCACTTCATTTGCAATTTCTTGCATGTCCATGTTCTTGTCAGGGTGCCATCGAAGGAAAAGACGTCTAATTGCCTTTTTCTGTTTGTCTTCCGGAAGTTTACGAATTTCAGCCAAAGCTTTTCTCACTTCTTTTAAGGCGTTTTCCAACGTTCTTGGCTTGGGAGGTTCGTTTGCACCTTGGGAAGATGTTGATGATTGCGCTCTTGCTTCCCCTGGATTTTGGCCACTGCTTCCTGCGTAAGGCACAAGTTCCATTGTATCCGAGAGAGATTCCTCCTCCATTTCTTTGTCTTCTTCGTCGTGAATCTGTCGTGGCCGTTTGATCTTGTAAAGATCTAGCACATCCACCTCTTTCTTCTCACTACCGATGTCTACAAGGTACCTGCTAAGAAGGTTGCTCTCTCCTCTCTGTTTTCTCTTTGTCTTGTCCTTTTTGGATTTAGCAAGATGCGGCGTGTTAAGCTTGTGAATGATTTGCGCATATATGTACTTCGGTTCCTCGTCGGTCGAGTCTTCTCTTTCAAATGCAACAAATTCACCCGGTCGAAAATAAAAGTCGTCATACTGTACCAGAAGTTCGTGGAGCTCCTCTGGTATCTCTGAGCCAAGATCAGGTTCCAACTGTGGGGTGTCACCTGCTTCCGCATCGTGGGAGACACCAGCGTTGTCCAGCACGGAAGAAATACTGTCAGGAGACTTACAATCTACAATAGCTGCTAGATGCAACCAGCTCTCTTTATCGATGTGACACCCAGTCAGCTGATTTATCTCTTTACAGAGAACTCTGCGCACCGCACTAGGATCTGCTCCATGTTTGATAAAAATATGCTTTCTGCCATTTGCCTCCTGCTCCACAAAACAATCCATGCGCGTTGATTTACGACTCTCTGAAATTGGAGTATTTGTTCCATTTTCAACTAACTCGGTGGACAGCTCTTCCATGCAACTTATGCTTAGCTCCTTTTGAAAACTGCGAACGTTGTTACGGACGTCCTCCGTCAATTTGGCTTTCTGGAACTGAAACTTTAGGATTCTCAAAATGCCATCCACAAGCTGAGGACAAAACAATATCTGGCGGAGGTGATTTGCATTCTGACATTTCTTCTCGGTGTCAGCGCGGCACTTCTTATCCCTGCTCTCTGGATGGAGTTCTTCCCTCACTAATGATGCCAAGGATTGCGTCTTTAGGTGAACCGGCAAAAGATCGATAATTTGGCGAGGAGTGGCAAACTTTAAATTATATCTGTGGAGTGCATCGAGGAACTCAAACATCGAATGTGGTATACGAGACGTGTATTGCGGGCAATCAAACAGGACCAGGTTTGTAGAACATTGAAGCTTCTGTTCACTACTTGGAAGGTACAGAGTTTTGATGTCAGCTAGAGGGTTGTCTTGCCGGCCTTCTCCATTGCGGTCTTTTATGGCCTTTAGAGTACAAAATAGTCCGAAAACAGCATGTTTTGCGACTCGAAGTTCATTGGCATGCATCTTCTCCTCTTGACATGATTCTCTGAGACGACTAAGGAGTTTGGCAAACTGCACGGGGCTAGCTTCCTCCATTGCTCCAAGGCGTTTGAACAAGTGCTCAAAAATCCCGTATTCTCGAGGAACTCTGTACAGGTATGGTGGTAGTTGCTCATCAAGGCGAAACGCCAGCTGGTCACAACGGACAAACACTCGGCCATCTTCAACGAGAATGAAAGAAATTTCAGACAGTCGTTTTCCAATTTCGTGGCACACTTGCGAGCACGAGTCAAGGGAGTCACTTTTCTGGCAACTGCTTACACGTTGAAGGAATGTGTACACTTCAACCATGACTTGACTCAAAAGGTGACGTTTTGGTTGTGGTTGCTCTCGGTCAACGTCCTTTAAAAGGCTTTGCGACAGTTTTGTGACATGAGCAACAACCTGTTCAAGAGAAGGTTCCTCTAGAACTCCAAGGCTCTTCAGCTTTGGCAAGGTAGTGTTTGGAACAGCCCAGGAAGGAAGAAGAGATGTAGCCGTCCAGGTCAGTCTTTCAAAGGTGTCTGGCAGTGAACTGTGAAAGTGAATAAATGGAATAATTCCATCCTTACCTTGTCCTGAAGACAGATGCTGTCTGTGAAGAGAGCAAAGCTCGTCGCTAGCCTTTGAAGAGGCCACAAACTTTAGTGTCGAGAGTGTCCGAAGATAGGTAACATCGTGCAAGGACACGTTGTTAAAAAGGTGTGTAACGAGAACTCGAGACTTTTTTTCCAACTCACCGTGAGATTTCTTGCTCGTGTTCTCTGCTTGTTTGGTCACTTCTTTTGAGAACTCCAGAAATGTATCTTTACTGACCTCCTGCTTAAGACCAACTTTGCGAAGGAGGTCCAACCAACCGGATTTCTCATCAAATGGATCTGGCGGCTTTGCTTCACGTGGTAACATAACTGCAAAGACTTTCACGCCTGGATCATGAAAATGTGAAGCAGTTCGCGGTGTTCCGTTGGCGTCTGGAATGAATGCCAAGGTTCTTAGTGCACTTAAAACTCTGTTGTGTTGGATGTCACTGCTATATGGGAGCAGTAAATACCGTCTAACGTAGTTGAGGTGACGCATTCGTGTTGCCTGCGTAAGATCTGGAAACTGTGGGAAGATGAAATTGATGTAACAATCTGTATGTGTTTTATCACCCACACCGAGAAGTTCCTTGTACAGGCGGTCCAGCTTGGGTGCAGGTGCTAAAAACACACAGTTGTTTCCTCTCATCCAGACATCTGACTCGTCAATTGGTAAGCCTTCTGGGATGACATTAACCGATCCAACACTGTCAAGGCGGACAAATTCTCCGTGGAAAGTCTTGAAAAATGGCAATCGTCTAACGATCGATATAAATGCATGGTCCTGTTTCAAAGGTGTTACGTCATCTTGAAAAAACTGCAGCATTGAGACCATTTCATCCTCGGAAAGACAACCGGAGATATCACCTTCATTCATCAGGTAGTCCAATACTCTGAGTATGTCTTGCGATGAGTTGGGGTAGGATAGATACGGTTTAAGTATGGTTGATACATCCCACCTGCCATCCCTAGTGATAAGCTCTATATCAACTTCATGACATTTTAGCTTCCGCAGTAAAGTGACAACACGTCTTTGGCCGGGTGACCAAGAGTCTGAAGTGGTCAAGTCGAGGATTACTTTACCTCTGGAGACTGGAGCTAGATTCCTCGATAGTGTTGGAAGGATGGGCCATTTTCCTAAGGGGTCAAGGGAAATGGTCTTCTCTGTTTTTTTGTGGATCTTTGATAAGAACTCCCACAGTCGCTGTAGCCAGGTTTTGGACGGCTCTTTATCTGGCTCCCATGGAATCAGAGTATTTGTTTCATACCAGCTGCCATTTGCAGTACTTGGAAGGAGGGAGGCTAATGCGGAGACGTCAAATTCCTTGAGAACACCTTGATTCGCGGCAAAGATTTTTGTCTCGATGTCAAGCAGACTTGTAGCCAATGCGTGATGGATAAATCGAGAACGATGATTTGGTACCAAATCGGCGAAAAGGCTCAGAAACACTTGGTCATCTTTCTGAAAACGCCTAAGTACGTTATCCTCAGTCAGTAACAGTGGCAATCCAAACATTTCTTTCGGAAACGAAGGTGCTTTCATGCAGTAGCTGAGGAGTAAGAGCACACTCACCACAGAACCAAGTTTCGTCTCGCCAACAGGACGAGGAATATTGCCAATATTGCTTGGATGTTCCTTTAGAAACTGGACAACTACCTGGGGCGTGATCTCTTTCACCGTAGTACCTGCTTTCATGAAGTCGTTGAAGACTCTGTGGGAAGAGTATAAAAGCTTGAAGCCCACTGTCAGCAGAATTTTCTTAAGTTTGTTATCGGATTCACTCCTGAACATCATTGTGTCGAAAAAACCTTGTGAAGGAGGTAACCAAAAACACTGAGTCACTCCTTTAGCACCAGATTCATCAGACCTCTGTGGAGAAACTTCAAATGTCTCCAACGTTTTCTTCGTCAGCGGCAGTAACTTCTGGTCTTGGCTGCAAATCTTCTGAAATACTGCCTCGGCCAGAACTGTCCATTGGCTATGGACAGAATCGAAGTGTGGAAAGAGATGGTGATACCATCGCATTCCTTCGTGGAGTTTGTACTCTTTGGGAAAGAAATCGACCTCCGCGTTTTTCAGCCCAGGCAATAGACCACGTGCCACCAACATAAGTGAGACGTAAGCTTGGGCCAGGACCCCAGTAATAATGAAATGGTTCCATTTGCTCCCAAACCCTTTTTCTTCATTTTCATCGCGCCACAGGTTTCGCCGTGCGGAATCCAAATAGAAGTGACCATTGACATGAACTGGAAGTCCTGTATCTAATGGTAACGGCAGAAAGCAAAAGGCCTTGTGTTTAGGTTCCTTTCTGTCACTGGAAAGGGACTTTGATTTCTCGGCCACTTTGGCTGCTATACCACCGCGAGGTAGCAGACCATAACCTCGACCGTCTGGAACTTCTTTAGTTTCTTCACTTGTCTGCAGACCAATACATTGATGAATGAGCCATTTTTCTTGTACTTCTCGTTCCTGAATCAATAGGAGGTACGTGATCCCAAGCCAATCAATCTCATTCGTCGTTAGAGCCTTGGAGTTTTTAATGTGATTTGCAAGTTTCACTCGCTGTGCAGCGTCTTCATCTGTCAATTGTGCAGAAACCGAGTAGATTTCTTTTAGCTGGTCGTCTTTAATTTCAGAGAGGGTTATTTTCTTCACGTGGTTCAAAAACAAGAGGATTTCCTTTGCTTCAAGAGTGAACAAGTTCATAAAGAACATCATTTCTGTGTGGGAAATCTGCTTTTGAGATATAGATGACTCTGCTGAAATTTTCTTGTTCCTAAGGGGAAAACGGAAGAGGGTTGCCGATGTTAAATCAAAAAAGTTCTCTAGATAACCAGGAAACATATCCCGGTAGTCGGATCGTTCTTCTTCTCCAATCGGTCCGATAAGACGCCCGGGATTCTCTTTAGATGCTCCAGGGGCATAGCGACAGTGAGGGTCAAGAATACAAAGCGTGTCTCCATTCGATATAAAACTTGGACAATCGGTTAGGTGGTACACAGCGTTAAAACCAATCCCGTACTGTCCCGTCTTTGTGGGATCTTCCGTTTTACTTCCAATTCCCAGTCTTTGAATCCCTTCTAAATCCTTTTCTGAGAATGGTCGGTTGTTATATACGCACAAGGCAGGTCCTTGAAGTTCCTTCCAGTTGTTACTTAAAAGGCGTTCCGAGGGATGGCTTCGAGGGTCGTAAATAAAGTGCAACTCGGTGGCACCCGCGTCGTCAGCGTTTTGGACAAGCTCTTTCAGTATCCCAACGTCACATGGATAGGCTTTTAAAATACCTTTCAAACGATCAGTTAGCTCCTCTCGCTGGCCGAATGGCTTTCCGATTGGACGTGATTTGTCAGCTAGTTTCTTTGCGCGAATATCAGTCGCGCCCAGCTTGTAGGCAAAATCGATGGAAATGTGCTCGTGAACATAGGCGGTACCACGTCTTGCTGTGATCCACGGTGCGTCATTAATGGCCAATTTCTCAGCGGGCTGTAGAAACAGGTTATGGTCTGGTAAAGGAATCTTGCCCTTCTCAATTTGAAGTAGATGCTCCGGAGCTTCTAACAGCTCCTCGATGAAAGACCTTGTAACTTTGAATTCTGTCGCAGATAGACACTCCCCGCACTTATCCTCGCTGAGTCTGTAAAGGGTACGAATGACGTCTTCGGTGGAAAAAAAATCTTTTACTCCTGTGGCTTGAAACAGGCGACGATATTTGTCGGCGAGAGTCTTTGGTACCTCGTAAAGGTAAGGTTCGCCAGATCTTTCCCACTTGAAAGCAAGCTGGTCGGACGAGAGACATTTTCCTTGGGTAAGTATCCAACATCTATCTTTCAACTCTTCAACAATCTCCTCACCATCTTTTTCCGAAAGAAGTTCTTGAAAGAAATCATATATGCTATGGAAAACATATTCAAAACTATTGGCTTCACCGGGTGAGTGCAGTGTTGCCTGAATAGCATGGTCCAACTGGTTAAGAACTTCTTGGAATGATGGTTTACGGCAACCAAAGCCAAAAAGATCTCGCGTTTGCTTGTTTAGTTTTCCACAGCCAAGTCCCTCGCTTTCGTCTAGGATTGGCCTTGAGGACCCTGCGATAAACTTGTATTCCTCACCATACATTTCTTCGGCCTGAAGCATGACGTTTCCATTTGTGTATTCATGGGAACCTCTCCAAGGCATTGCACTGTGTACCGGTTTGTTCAGANTCACTGGTTGCCAGCTGAAAGGAATTGCCAGTTCCTAGGCAAGAACTTATAAGCCAGGAGCAGCTTTCTTGACTCCCGTCACCATTCTTTGAGGTCACAGTTATCACCTCTGTTAACTTGGGCGGTGGCTCCTTGTTTGCAAAGATGGCATGACTTTGCGTTTTTGTCCATTCTGCGCATGAATGGAGAAATGTGTTCTCCACCAGAGGTTTGTCTGGTTGACGTACGTTCGCTGTTTCTTTCGAAATTTCAAACAGTAGTCGCGCGTTTCTTGGATCAAGGACATTCTCTTCCACCTCAAGGAATGTTACCCTTTTTACATTCTGTGTAAACAAGAGCAAGCTTGACGACGATTCTTGAAAAGAATGCACAAGGGCTTGTATCTCCTGTCTGTTGTAGATCTTATCGCAGATTTCTCCTCTCTTTGTTCGGAAGGCAAATCTAAAGAGAGTTCCTTGAAAATAAAACTTCTCAGACGTACTACTTGGCGAAGTCGTGTCACAGCCAAACAGCCCGTTGTAAGGGAGATATTGGTGGGAAAAGTAGAGTAGACTGTCTGGATTGACAGCCAAATTTATCTTGATACCAGGTTTTGAGACATCAGGTATATGCGCTCCAAGGTGTGTTCTGTGTGGATCAAAGAACACGGCATAGTTTCTGCTGATGAAACTTGGAACATCAGTGAAGTGGTAGACTGAACTGAAACCAAGTCCAAACCGGCCGATCTTTTCTAGGTCTTCTTTTTTGGTGGCCCCTGCCAACTTCGATATATTCTGCAAATCGTCGTCTGTAAAAACTGCGTTGTTGTACACTAACAGGGCGGGACCTTGACAGTCTGCCATACCTGATGACAAAACCCTTTCGGTTGGATGGCTGCGCCAGTCGAGAACAAACTGCACTTCAGTTGCACCAGCGTCATCTGCATTCTGTACCAGTTCTCTGAAAACACCAACACCTTCTTTGTACTCGTTCAGAATATTCTTAAGCCTGGTTGTAATTGGCTCGTGAGGGCCTGTTTGTTCGATACCTAGTGCCTCCGCGCACGTGACACGCGTGCTAATAGGTGGAACACCCAGAAGCTCAGCGGTTTTCGTAGATATGCTGTCATGAATCATAGGAAACTGACTTGTGATTGGAAGTTCTGAACCTCCTTTCCTCAACCAACCTGCGTCGCAGAATGTGCAGTCGTTGCATGGAACCATCTTTAAGGTGTTATCCCAGGTCATTACTGGCACCAACAGGTTTCTACGGAGCTCTGAATTCAGTGACTTTCCATCTTTTACCATCCATTGCAGAATGTCGCATGACAATTTTCGGTCATCCGCTACATTTCTCATATCATTGCTTGCGTCGTGCTTATCCTTTATCATTGCGAGGACACCCAGCAGGTCTGTTTCGTTAAATCTCTCACGAACACCACATTGTTGGAAAAACGAACGGAGGGNTCAAACAGTAGTCGCGCGTTTCTTGGATCAAGGACATTCTCTTCCACCTCAAGGAATGTTACCCTTTTTATATTCTGTGTAAACAAGAGCAAGCTTGACGACGATTCTTGAAAAGAATGCATAAGGGTTTGTATCTCCTGTCTGTTGTAGATCTTATCGCAGATTTCTCCTCTCTTTGTTCGGAAGGCAAATCTAAACAGAGTTCCTTCAAAATAAAACTTCCCAGACGTACTACTTGGTGAAGTCGTGTCACAGCCAAATAGCCCGTTGTAAGGGAGATATTGGTGGGGAAAGCAGCTTAGACTGTGTGGATTGACAGCCAAATTTATCTTGATTCCAGGTTTTGAGGCATCAGGTATATGCACCCCAAGGTGTGTTCTGTGTGGATCAAAGAACACGGCGTAGTTTCTGCTGATGAAACTTGGAACATCAGTGAAGTGGTAGACTGAACTGAAACCAAGTCCAAAACGGCCGATCTTTTCCAGGTCTTCTTTTTTTGTGGCCCCTGCCAACTTCGATATATTCTGCAAATCGTCGTCTGTAAAAACTGCGTTGTTGTACACTAACAAGGCGGGACCTTGACAGTCTGCCATACCTGATGACAAGACCCTTTCGGTTGGATGGCTGCGCCAGTCGAGAACAAACTGCACTTCAGTTGCACCAGCGTCATCTGCATTCTGTACCAGTTCTCTGAAAACACCAACACCTTCTTTGTACTCGTTCAGAATATTCTTAAGCCTGGTTGTAATTGGCTCGTGAGGGCCTGTTTGTTCGATACCTAGTGCCTCCGCGCACGTGACACGCGTGCTAATAGGTGGAACACCCAGAAGCTCAGCGGTTTTCGTAGATATGCTGTCATGAATCATAGGAAACTGACTTGTGATTGGAAGTTCTGAACCTCCTTTCCTCAACCAACCTGCGTCGCAGAATGTGCAGTCGTTGCATGGAACCATCTTTAAGGTGTTATCCCAGGTCATTACTGGCACCAACAGGTTTCTACGGAGCTCTGAATTCAGTGACTTTCCATCTTTTACCATCCATTGCAGAATGTCGCATGACAATTTTCGGTCATCCGCTACATTTCTCATATCATTGCTTGCGTCGTGCTTATCCTTTATCATTGCGAGGACACCCAGCAGGTCTGTTTCGTTAAATCTCTCACGAACACCACATTGTTGGAAAAACGAACGGAGGGCCTCAAAGTCTTGTGGAACTGTAAATAAGTAAGGCTTCAAGTCGAAGTTGCAAGGTGAAACAAATGCCATCTTGGACGGTGATGTAAATCCGTTTCCGTGCCATACCCACGCAGAAAAGCTAACATCTTGTCCTATCATCCAAGTGAAGTTAGGATAGGTGGATGCTTCCTCGTAGATCTGTTTTAACATTGCTTGAAAATGATACCTGTCAGTCGTATTCATGTCATTTAATGACACAACGTAGGCAGAGCGCAGCTGGTCTATGAGGTGGTGGGCGGCGGGTGACTTGTCCCAACCGAAAACATTCTCCAGTGCTCGTGTGCAAGGCCTGGAGACAAGAGGAAACGATGCTCCTGCAAGATTGGCTTTAGACTGACTTAGCACATCAGACGGTTTGAAGAACTGTGCTTTCCCTGAAAACCAAGGCATGACGCAAGGGTAGGAAGCAGGACGATTCTGCATTCGTTGGATCCACCTCTCTTTCATTAGAGCTTGAACCAAGGTCTTGTTTGAGTTCAGTAAAAGCGGGTTAGTGTTTAGAAACTCTAATAGTGCTGATGCTTTACGTGATGCCACATCAAGAGGGATATTGCATAATGTCTGGGCAACATGCAAAATGTCGTCTGCATTTGGAACACTCCTCATTCCAAGTTGTCGAAGAGGCTGGAGAATGTCATCTTTGGCGAAGTCGTTATGTGGAAACTTGTTGTTGTCGTCTTCAAAAAGTTGTCGCAAAACGGGTTGTTGTGGATCGAGAACATCACATGGAGTGGCCAGCCTGTTANTCTAGATAACCAGGAAACATATCCCGGTAGTCGGATCGTTCTTCTTCTCCAATCGGTCCGATAAGACGCCCGGGATTCTCTTTAGATGCTCCAGGGGCATAGCGACAGTGAGGGTCAAGAATACAAAGCGTGTCTCCATTCGATATAAAACTTGGACAATCGGTTAGGTGGTACACAGCGTTAAAACCAATCCCGTACTGTCCCGTCTTTGTGGGATCTTCCGTTTTACTTCCAATTCCCAGTCTTTGAATCCCTTCTAAATCCTTTTCTGAGAATGGTCGGTTGTTATATACGCACAAGGCAGGTCCTTGAAGTTCCTTCCAGTTGTTACTTAAAAGGCGTTCCGAGGGATGGCTTCGAGGGTCGTAAATAAAGTGCAACTCGGTGGCACCCGCGTCGTCAGCGTTTTGGACAAGCTCTTTCAGTATCCCAACGTCACATGGATAGGCTTTTAAAATACCTTTCAAACGATCAGTTAGCTCCTCTCGCTGGCCGAATGGCTTTCCGATTGGACGTGATTTGTCAGCTAGTTTCTTTGCGCGAATATCAGTCGCGCCCAGCTTGTAGGCAAAATCGATGGAAATGTGCTCGTGAACATAGGCGGTACCACGTCTTGCTGTGATCCACGGTGCGTCATTAATGGCCAATTTCTCAGCGGGCTGTAGAAACAGGTTATGGTCTGGTAAAGGAATCTTGCCCTTCTCAATTTGAAGTAGATGCTCCGGAGCTTCTAACAGCTCCTCGATGAAAGACCTTGTAACTTTGAATTCTGTCGCAGATAGACACTCCCCGCACTTATCCTCGCTGAGTCTGTAAAGGGTACGAATGACGTCTTCGGTGGAAAAAAAATCTTTTACTCCTGTGGCTTGAAACAGGCGACGATATTTGTCGGCGAGAGTCTTTGGTACCTCGTAAAGGTAAGGTTCGCCAGATCTTTCCCACTTGAAAGCAAGCTGGTCGGACGAGAGACATTTTCCTTGGGTAAGTATCCAACATCTATCTTTCAACTCTTCAACAATCTCCTCACCATCTTTTTCCGAAAGAAGTTCTTGAAAGAAATCATATATGCTATGGAAAACATATTCAAAACTATTGGCTTCACCGGGTGAGTGCAGTGTTGCCTGAATAGCATGGTCCAACTGGTTAAGAACTTCTTGGAATGATGGTTTACGGCAACCAAAGCCAAAAAGATCTCGCGTTTGCTTGTTTAGTTTTCCACAGCCAAGTCCCTCGCTTTCGTCTAGGATTGGCCTTGAGGACCCTGCGATAAACTTGTATTCCTCACCATACATTTCTTCGGCCTGAAGCATGACGTTTCCATTTGTGTATTCATGGGAACCTCTCCAAGGCATTGCACTGTGTACCGGTTTGTTCAGAACTGGAAACATGCTCACTCTCACTAACTCTGATTTCATCCATTCTGTGGGAGGGTCAAGTTTGTGAAGATGAACATTTATGTAGTTCACAAGACGGGCAACTCTTTCTCGAGCATCTTGTTCGGCTTTAACACAAAGCACTGGCACCGTGTTTGCTCGCTCTAGTAAAGTCTTCCAGTCAAGGATGTCCGATGCCATGCCCATGTTTTCAAGCATGAGAAGGCGCTCTTTGGTGCGATAACCCGAGCCAAACGGGAATCTCTTTTCATCTTCTGAGAACAAAGTCGCCCCCGTACTTATAGGGGATATAAGTTCTTTTGGAGATGCCAAATCTCCCTCGCACGGCCCACAAGGGATACAACGATTGGTTGAAAGCAAAGACTTGTATAGTGTGACAAGATCCGATCGATGGCTTGAATGTCCTCGAAGGCATTCGTCAATCAGGTAAAGCACAATGGAATCTCGTAGATCACCAGGTATCGTCAACATGTTTGGGAAAAAGACATCTTTCAAAAAATTCTGCTGAGTCATTGTCCGCTCTTCAATCATCTCGATACACCCAGCCTGTTGAAAGCCTTTTCTTGCGAAGTCTGGAAGTGGGACTACTTTGTAATCAAGCATTGCCAGAACTTTCTCGCTTTTCGGAATTTTCTGCAACTCGACGTCTCGATAAATGCATTGGGTTACGGGACTCCAGTCCCCTTCTATGAGAACCAATGGAAGATCAGAAGTTGCGATTCGTTGATAAACGCTTTTTATGAGTGGTGCCCATGCCGATGATTGGAGCGTCTCTGGATTTGGCCAAAGGGAGAAACTGTCGTATGACGGAATCTTTCCTTGCTTGTGCATACGCATCGTGTTCTCTAGAACCTGAAAGTAAGCCTGGGATACTGCATCTTCCATGAGGCTTCTGTTCCATCGGACCTCTAAGGGCTGGTGACCAAGATCAGCCGT